TTGAAAAACAGATATCCGGGTTATATCCTCTTTTCCAAACTTTGCTATGAAAAGATGGTGGAAGTTTAGGATCATGGATTAACGTGAGACCACTCGTTTCGGCCCATGCTTCTACTGCTTCTCCATTTGCGTCCGAATCTGCATAGCCCCAGAGTAAACTGTGACTGTTAAAGTCTCCCAGTACAAGCTGATTGACTTGAGATTGAAAATTAGTTGGGGGTGAAAATATAAAAGGCTGGTTTGGGGGCTTGTATACCGAGGTTATTGTGCATTTTCCGATCTCAGTGGTTATTATCTCTATACCGTGTACATTTGTTGTTTCCACAGATGAGACTATGGTTTGAGTTCTCACAAATACCGCGCTCCCATGCTTATTGTGTGGTATCTCCGCAATCAGTTTCATACCAGAGACTTTCGGTCTCGCTGCAGTTAGGTCTCTGTGGGTTTCCTGGATGCACAATACCTCACATTTCGTGTTCATGCAGAATTCTGATAAAATGTCTTGTTTGGCTGTAGTGATGCCCTCGATATTTATGCTCGCTACTGTCAGTGTTGGCTCTGAGAAGAACTGTTGTGGCTTGATCTTTGCCATGGGATTTGGATTGGTCCGGTGTTGGAAGGATTAGCCGTCTACTAGTAGACGTTTCCAGGGGACGCCGTCAATAGTGTTTCTTTTGCAGTTGATGTGGCACTATTGATCTCATGGAGGCTCCTTCCTTGTCCCCCTGAAATAATAAAAAAAAACCCATATTGGGGAGTTGTCTAATAAAGATAAACAAATTAGATGTTATAAATTACAATAATTATGCCAATATTACATGTCTGTGGTTTTGTTTTCAAAATGAATAAAAATTAATAAAAGGAATAAAAAGTTTAAACAGACAAGGTAAGACCTACAAATTGTTATAAAATAGTCTATTAGATTGTAATACATTAATAAATGAGCAAATAAATAAACATTACTTACATGCCGGTACTATATTAATTGATGGATGGTAGAACATGGTTGAAACTATCCTGTATTGTTGAATGGAGAACTTAAGTCTGCTATTGTAGTTGTTTGGCAGTAAACGGGATATTCTTGAGGAGATAGATTTGATCCAATGAAGTAGAGATAGGTGTGTGATTGTTTGTTAGATGAAAGTGATGTTATATACCATTGTATTATTTAAAAGTTATTTATACTTATTCGAGAGATATATTTATGAAATGTGTGTTATTTATTGAGTATTTGTTTTATGAAGGTGACAGTTTTATGACAATGAATAAGCTTAGATGTACAAATTGTGGGGGTGTGCAATTCTTTCAACTTGTAATTATCAAATTTCTTTGATAAAGGTCTATTGGCAAAATGGTAGATTATTGCAAAGTCGAGTATATAAAATATTAAAGTTAAAACAATTAAGGACAATTTAAACACACTAAAATAGAAAACACTTGGAAGGGAGGAAACAAACATTAAATTTAAAAAGGGGGAAGGACTTTTATGCACTACATCTCAGTCTTGGGTACAATGAGTTTGATAATAGATAACATAGATAATATAAAAACTTATTGTGCCCAAGACTGAGATGTAGTGCATAAAAGTCCTTCCCCCTTTTTAAATTTAATGCTTGTTTCGTCCCTTTTAAGTGTTTTCTGTTTTAGTGTGTTTAAATTGTCCATGATTGTTTTAACTTTAATATTTTATATAATCGACTGCAATAATCTACCATTTTGCCAATAGAACTTTATCAAAGAAATTTGATAATTACAAGTTGAAAGAATTGCACACCCACACAATTTGTACAATCTACATCTAAGCTTATTCATTGTCATAAAACTGTCACCTTCATAAAACAAATACTCAATAAATAACATACATTTCATAAATATCTCTTGAATAAGTATAAATAACTTTTAAATAATACAATGGTATATAACATCACTTTCATCTAACAAACAATCACACACCTATCTCTACTTCATTGGATCAAATCTATCTCCTCAAGAACTTCCCGTTTACTGTCAAACAACTACAATAGCAGACTTAAGTTCTCCATTCAACAATCCATGATAGTTTCAACCATGTTCTACCATCCATCAATTAATAGAGTACCAGCATGTAAGTAATGTTTATTTCAAAATTAATGGGAAAAACCCCGTAATTGGCTGTATACCATCGTTTAAAAAAACACAGAAGTTAAAACACTTCACAAATGTGTATTTAGGTATAAAACAAACAAGTTAAAACTTTTTAAAAAAGTGTCGTCACATTTAAAGTTCTGGCAGAACGTTTTCGATCACTACGGATCATCTTCAGTGCCTCGTATTTGTTGCTAACTATATAAATATGGTGTCTATAAGACTTCCATGTTTGATTTGGTAAAGTGTCACATTTTACATTAGGTAATGTTGATACTGTAGGTCGATGACAATGGATGTATTTAAAATTTATTACTTTAGGGACTACATGTCTCCTAAGCTCGAGTACTTGCACGTTGTCAGTTGAAGCGACGACACAGACCAAATGGCTGATGTCACAGGAGATAACTTAAAGACAGCTAAACTTGACAGGATTTCAGTATGTTCCGAAATTAATGTAATTTTTAATTTGTGAAATTATAAAATTTGTTTACTTGTAGTAATGAATAATAACTTATTAATGAACCTGACTTTAACATTTAGATTTGTTTATGATAAAATTTATTGCTTAGATCAGTGAATCTATATTATTGAAATTAAACTATCAATTTAATGGGATTAGTATAAAAGGTTGAAATTTATGACATCATAAGTGATGATAAAATGATGAATGTAGTAGAAGAAGAAGGGTATTGATGTGGTACAGTACAAATGTAAGTATATGAACTGTATAAAATTATTATAACTGAAAAAATTAAGTTAAAATCCAATGATATGGAAGTGAGAATTATTATTTATATATTGTGTAAAGGTGGTTGCCTAGCAATGGTAAAAGACCTGTGTAATTATCAGATGTTTTAAAAATTATTTTTTGTTTGATTAGTAAAATGAATATTCTAATAGTATGTAAAATGAGTATATATACACATATATATACACTCATATATACAAATATATATATTCTCAGCTTCATATATATATTTGTATATATGTGTGTATATATATGTGTATATATACTCATTTTACATACTATTAGAATATTCATTTTACTAATCAAACAAAAAATAATTTTTAAAACATCTGATAATTACACAGGTCTTTTACCATTGCTAGGCAACCACCTTTACACAATATATAAATAATAATTCTCACTTCCATATCATTGGATTTTAACTTAATTTTTTCAGTTATAATAATTTTATACAGTTCATATACTTACATTTGTACTGTACCACATCAATACCCTTCTTCTTCTACTACATTCATCATTTTATCATCACTTATGATGTCATAAATTTCAACCTTTTATACTAATCCCATTAAATTGATAGTTTAATTTCAATAATATAGATTCACTGATCTAAGCAATAAATTTTATCATAAACAAATCTAAATGTTAAAGTCAGGTTCATTAATAAGTTATTATTCATTACTACAAGTAAACAAATTTTATAATTTCACAAATTAAAAATTACATTAATTTCGGAACATACTGAAATCCTGTCAAGTTTAGCTGTCTTTAAGTTATCTCCTGTGACATCAGCCATTTGGTCTGTGTCGTCGCTTCAACTGACAACGTGCAAGTACTCGAGCTTAGGAGACATGTAGTCCCTAAAGTAATAAATTTTAAATACATCCATTGTCATCGACCTACAGTATCAACATTACCTAATGTAAAATGTGACACTTTACCAAATCAAACATGGAAGTCTTATAGACACCATATTTATATAGTTAGCAACAAATACGAGGCACTGAAGATGATCCGTAGTGATCGAAAACGTTCTGCCAGAACTTTAAATGTGACGACACTTTTTTAAAAAGTTTTAACTTGTTTGTTTTATACCTAAATACACATTTGTGAAGTGTTTTAACTTCTGTGTTTTTTTAATGTTTATTTATTTGCTGATTTATTAATTTATTACAATCTAATAGACCATTTTATAACAATTTGTGGGTCTTACCTTGTCTGTTTAAACTTTTTATACCTTTTTATTCAGTTTTATTCATTTTGAAAAAAAAAACACAGACATGTAATATTGGCATAATTATTGTAATTTATAACATCTAATTTGTTTATCTTTATTAGACAACACCCTAATATCAATTTTTATTATTTCCGCATTTATTTAACTTTGTATCGAGACCTGAAGATGTTTTGCATATTGTAGAAAGCGAAACCGGTCGTTTGAATAGTTAAATTAAATTGGTTGTGAGTAAGTCTTATTTATTATTTCTTTACCTATTTGTTAGGGTGAATGTTGGGTAAGACTAGAAGGGACAAAATCAGGAACGACGTGATTAGAGAATGAGTTGTGGTGGATAAAGTATTAAACAGGCTCGAGAATAAAAAGACTGCAATGGTTTGATCATGTCAGACGTAGAAATAAGAACTATGCGGACAAAGTGAATGATAAAGCTATTGGAAGTTAAGGAATAGTGAGGTAGTGGAGAAGATGGAAGGATTGTGTGACAGAGAAATTAAGAGAGAAAGGTTTTAATTAAGAAGACAGAAATGATTGACGAAGAAGTGTATGAACGGCGATTCCTAAAAAAGTAAAAGCCGAGGAAGAAGAAGAAGAAGACTATTGAAAGTTTATAGTTTGAAACTACTGTTCTGTAGTATTATGATAATCCTAAACGGGAGATTTTAAATATCAAGTCATCAAAAAACGTAATTAAAGTAGATTGTGGAATTTAAAATTAAATTAAGATGGTTAAAGTCTAAAACCATATATTATTTTTATTGCATATAAGTAAGATTTTTTCCGAAGTCTCTTAATGTTGTTAAAATTCTTTTCAGTTTTCCGTATTTTTATATATTTTGTCTCTTTTAGCCTATGCACTTTTGTTTAATGTTATTACTATTTTTACAGAATATATTGATACGAATATGAAGGATTTTCCAAAGGTCAGAGATTATTTTAGATGGTACAATATCTACGTTCTACCAGAAACTTATAGAGCCATGTCGTACGTGAATGCAGAATGTCACAAAACAGCACAAATGTCCCTGTTTACTGCCAGCTATGGGTCCAGATATGTTTCTTTGGATGAATTCGAATCTATCCAGAATTTAGCTACAAGCGTTGTGAGTTGTTTTTTTTTATCTTATATTGTGGAAAATCGATTAACAAGAAATAATATATTGTTGGACAGACTTTATAGCAATAAACCTAAATTAGGCTATAATTCTATAGTTTCTACATATTATAATTATATTCTACATATTATTATACTTCATTATTAGACTCATGCATCTTAAATTCCTTTATAGAAAAATGGCCCAAGGCCACTGAAACCTATATAGATGCATCTAAAACATTGGAAGGTACCTTTGTGTATTCTATGTGCTTTCTACATTTTATTCACGTCGATAGAAAAAAAACTACCTTCCAATTAATCAATTTTTAGTAGAAATTCTTGAAGCCTTTATATATTTCGACAGTTCAATAATGCAGCTTTACTAATATTCGATTCATTGTCAGTTTTATTACCTCTCAACAATTCCCTAAATTAAAAGTTACCCAATTAGAATTCTAATTCTTTCATTAACCAAATTAAGAACATACTTGTCAACCTTAAAACTAAATATCGCTTTCAGAGATATGGTCAATATCGTCATCGCTTCCCGATTCTATGGCATCGTCATCAATTTCAGCCCATAGAGCTTCAAGCTTTTTCTGTTCCGCTTCGTATGACATGATATTTTAGCTAAAAAATTAAACAATTGAATATGCAGATTCAAATAAGTCAAAAATAAAAACTTACTTATAATGTCAAAATTGCAAACGCGAGTACATAGGTGGGGTTTGACACACCCCAGAGCATTTCAGGCGCTACAATGTACCATACTCACTGCCTACAATGTACCATAGATAAGAGGGTTAGGTTAGGTTAGGCAATGTACTGAGGTAACTCCTGAATTCGATGGTGGGGACATTTTTTAAAAGCTATTGGGGTGGACGTGCGCATAAGTCTGCGTTTGATTTATTTTAAGAGCGATATTTAGGAGCTGGGGTTTGTGAAACCCCACATATGTAGTGCCGGGTTAAGATCCATTCAGATCTAGTAATTTTGTGTTTGTTGATGTTTCATGTGTTATTAGCTTATTCAAGTAAGTGATTAGGTCTTCCATATGACTACAAATCAGCTTTTTTAATATGCTCAATGTTTTTTCAGCTTCCCTCTCTAGTTGTTCCGTACGTGAACATCTAGGTATAGGAATTTTAGAACTTGCTGAGAAGGGCCCCTCTTTAAATCTTCCATTTGGAGATATCACATTTTGGTTATGAAGCTCCTCCTCATAAGTTTTATTTGTCTTATTAATTTTTCTTTTATTTTTATTTTCGCTATTTTCTGTTTTTTTTTTCTAAACCACTGTTCTGGGTTACTTCAAATATTTTCTATCCAACGCCCATTAATTAAAATTCAATCTGTTATATTAACCTCATTTGATAGAGTTGGAAATTCGTCCTAACTTACTCTAAATTTATTTTCTTTTGATAACTTTTTCTTGGAGACATATGGATTGGAGACATTTCATCATACATTCCCCTTCATGTGCTTTATCATCACAATTTTTTCATTCCCTCCACATTGGTTTTTTGTATGATCAAAACGAAAACAATGATAGCATTGAACCACCGGAATCATATATGGCTTTACTCTGTTTGGGATTTGTTTTCCTGAAAAGGTAACGCAACTGTCCATGTATTTCTATATTTACTTTATCATATTTTGATTTTCGTTTAAAACTATAATTTGTTTACAAAAAACCTTTATATTGACAATTATAATGATATAAACCGTATAAACATCACACACTGACATTTATTACGAAGTGGCTGAATTGCCTACTAACGTCATTTAGATAAAAAAATCCACAATCTGCTCATATTATATTTTTTATTGATACTTCGGTAATACCATGTGGTCCATATGTATGGAATAAATTCATTTTTAGCGTTATTATGTACTATGTGAAAAAACCTGAAACAGGTCGATTTTTATTCTTAAATTGACAATTTACAGTATAAAAATAATATCCTCCTCCAGCAACCTTCTTGAATTATAAGCATTACCTCGAAAATTTTAAATAGCAAAGGGGGTCGTGTAGCATCTTGTTAGAAAGGGATTTTAGTCCTCTGTTCAGGAATGTAAAGTTTTTTGAGTTTGTGCAATTATAACTTACAAAATTAATTTTTACAATATTAAATTAAATGTTCAACTTGAACACTATTATTCACTTCTTGACAATAACCGATGCGATTTTGGAATTCTCATACAACATTTTGTATGACCTCGGGGGTTATTTTGTTAATTTCTTTCGTTATCCTAACTTTTGTATCACCAATACTGCCTGGTCTACTAAAATATACTTTAGAAAAAATTAGGTATTTTCGTATCTGTTCTGCTAAACATTGGGGAAAAAACTTTGAAGATAATAAAATATTAGTCAAAAAGCCAAATAAAAAATTGATATGAATCTAGTAGACTGCTGTTATTTGGGTATTTAAGGTTTCTAGAAGACGTGAATTATGGCTCATTTGTCCGAGACTAAAAGAATAGACATTTTAACTATGATTGGTTGTGGTAAAAAAACAAGAGCTCAAAAGGGGGTTTGTAAAATGTTAATAATGTATACCCTGGTCAACAAGTTTACTGGACCAACTGGCCAATGTTATACTGGACATGTAAAAAATATTGAAAAACCTGGTAGAAATAATTAATTTATTGATGAAAAAAAGTTAGATGTACGTCTAGAGATTGAGGAAAATCCGCAAAGACAACTTAAGAACTTGCCGCCATCAATGATGTAAGTAAATCATCTATTTTGAGAGTTTCACATAAAGAAAAATAACACTCTTACAGAGTTCAGTTGGTTCAGGAGTTAAATGAAGATGATCCTGATAGATGGCAAGAATTCTGTGAAATGATGATAGACAGAATGAACGCAGATTTGCAGTTTATTAACAAAATGGTTTTTTTCTGATTAAGCGACGTTTCATTTAAACGGAACGGTTAACAAACAGAACTGTAGATATTGGAGCAGAGAAAATCCTTACTGAGTGTGTGAGACTCATACGCAATATCCTAAAAAATTAACGATTTGGCTGGTATTATTAACAATAAAATTATTGGTCCTTATTTTTTTAAAGGTGCAGTTGATGATAAGGTTTATCTAGATTTTTTGATTAACTTTTTAGTGCCTATATTACGAAGATTTTTTCCTAATGTTAATCATCCAAATTAGATAGATGGACCTTTTTACTACCAACAAGGTGGAGCTCTACCGCATTTTGCACTTATAATTAGAAATTATTTAAACGAGGTTTTTCCCAATAGGTGGATTGGAAGACGTTGAACAATCGAATGGCCGGCTAGATCCCCCGATTTGACTCATCTCGATTACTTCTTATGGGGTTATTTAAATTCTAAAGTATAATTTACTAGAGCAAACAGTATTGCTGATTGAAAAGTTGGGATTAAGTATGAGAATTCCAAAATCGCCTCGGGTATTGTCAAAAAGTGAATAGTGGCCATTTTGAACATTTAATTTAATTGTAAAGTACATTGAAAAATACGTTCTAAATATTATGTGACATTATTATCTTCATTCAACCTAAAGTTTTGTGGTAAAGACATTATTAAAGTTTAATTAACTTAACTTAATATTACTGAACAGAAGACTAAAATCCCTTTTTATTACGGTGCTACACGACCCCCTTTGCTATTTAAAATTTTCGAGGGGGTGCTTATAATTCAAAGGGGGTGCTGAAGTGAAATATTATTTTCATACTGTAAATTGTCAATTTAAGAATAAAAATCGACCTGTTTCAGGTTTTTTCACATAGTACTTAATAACGCTAAAAATGAATTTATTCCATACATATGGACCGCATGGTATATCGTGCTTTAGTCTACACATTTTATCAACTGTCCAGCAATGTACTAAAAATTCAGAAACATATTTCATTATAACAAGTGTTCCTTTTGATATACTACCATATTAAATTCTCAAGCGAATATCTTTTTTTAGTTGTTAAAACAATTAAGGGGGCCGTGGATTGAGTCTATAATATACAACATCCGTATGTGTTTAGGAGATATAGGCAAAGGATGGTTTGATATAAACGAGAAAGTCTTCGAAACATACGAGATTTCCAAGTTAAAACGTTTCATGGAGTTGGTTAAGTTCAGAATGCAAGTAAGTTTGAGTTGATTAACTTTGGGGTAATCTAGTTTTAGTAGTAGAAAACAAACAGCGTACATTTTATGATATTATTGCATAAACCTTAGACAACAAATATTGACTTTTGAAAGGGCTAGATTAACCTTTCTGACTGAGCTTACTTAATTAATAATTTAATATGGTTAATATAGTATAATGGTCTTGGAAAATATTAAATCTTTTTTTTTTGGATTAAAATACATGAGCTTATGTATCATAATACTATTCTTTTGCGGGATAGATAATCGCAACTGTACATAAAAATGATAGTTGGTGGTAGTTTGTTTTATCCCAATTCCTGATTGTAAAATTTTTATTAAGATAAGACGTAACTACATTTGAGGCAAGCTAATGCAAACTAGTATTAAAAATAAAATAGCAAATTAAAAATAATTGGCATCACAGGGGTCATTTCATAAGTTGACAAAGTGGCGGATATTTTTTGGAATAATATATTTCTGTTTTGGCCAGCCACTAATGATAAGTCAAAAACAACTTGTAGTTGAGAGTCGCCTACTCTCTTTTGTCGAAACTAATTTTTACATTACTCAGATAACGGTAAATCATTGACAATTCAATGAACAGCAAACCCTATATCCACATCAATAGATTTTTTTATTGTTTTTTAGAAATGTCATTGATAGTGTGTCAGATATGTACCGGTCCCGTCATAAAAAACTTGTACAACTCTTATAACCGAAAATCTTAAAAATCTTAAAAAATTCTATTAATTTTGAAATTTTCCCTTATCTCAATACCCATACATTGATTCGTGTTTTATTATAATTGGTTGATTGTGATTGGTTTCTCGTAAAGTGTAGCACAAAACTGTATTGAGTTGTGGAATACAGTAAATAAAACCCACTGGAAAAAATTAGAATTTAATTTGAAATTAATAAAAAATGAATAATTTTTAGAGTAAACAAGTGTGCGATTTAAATATATATTACAATTCGAAAAGTTAATATTTTGTCATACCTCCATTATTATTAATTACTTCTTGTTATCTTCTGGGAACAGAGTTAATTAAATTTAGTGACAAATTTTTATCTTCATTTAAGCTTTCCCAGGTTTTTTCAATGATGGTCCATAAATGATCTCTGTTTTGGGGAACTTAATTTTTGTATTTTGTTGATCATAAGTCCCCAAAGTTCTCTATGGGATTAATATCTGGACTTTTAGAGAGCCATGGAAGAGCTTCAATGCTATTTTCTATAAGGTAATCCCGTACACGGTGGGCTGTGTCGATTGAACAGTTATCACGCTGGAAAATAAAATTATTGATGGATTCGACCGTTACTTGATGGAAATTCATTTTATGTAACAATAAAACACTGAAAACTTTGTTTTTAAACTTCCACAAAATTTATTTTAAATCTTATCACTACACCTGTTTCGGCTAATTGCCTTTCTCAAGTGATCTATTTTTGGATTGGGTTTACAAATTTATAGTCTCTAATCAAATAGGTTGAGGAGGGGAGAACTGTTTATCTCAAGTTGGTCATTCAGAATTATATCTGTGTTTTTTAATTTGTTGATTTCCATAGATTCTAACAAAGATAGCTTACGGCTTTTATTTTGAATGTGAAGAATTTTAAATTTGTCATTAAAAGAATGACTATGATCTAGAAGGTGAAGTGCGTATGTCGAATCTGTTTTTCTATTCTTAAAAGCCCTTTTATGTTCTGCTATTCGTTTATCAAAGTTTCTACCAGTGTGACCGATGTAAGTTTTTGGGCAGTCGCCACATTGAAGTTTGTACACACCACTATTTAAGTGTTTTTTACTTTTGCTCTTGTTATTTTTAATATATTTGCCTCGGTTGTTATTTGTTCGGAAAGCTGGTGTTATTCCTTTCTTTTTTATGTGTTTGGCAATTTTTGTTGTTATTTTGCCTGTATATATAATCGAGCAGAAGGTACTGGATTTTTTCTCTTGTGGTGGAAATACTAATTTCAGGGCTTTCTTGTGTAGTTTTTGATTTAACATTTTATTAATTGTTTGTTCGTTGTATCCGTTGTTTACTGCTATTTGCTTAATTATATTTAATCCTGTCTCAAAGTTGTATTTTGACATCGGAATTTCTGTTAATCTATGTAACATACTATGATAAGCTGCCAGTTTGTGTCGTGTTGGATGGGATGATGAATTGTGTATAGTCGTATCAGTATGGGTAGGTTTAAGAAATATGGAAAAGTTCATTAAAAAAAAAAATTGAATACGGCATGTTTTGAAATATTTGTCTCTAGATGATCCATAAAAATATCTGATAGCAATGGGCTTAGAGGATTGCCCATTATAAGTCCTGCACTGTTATTTGTATATATTTTATTATTAAATTCAAAGTAGTCCTGATTTATGCAAACTTCAAGAAGATGTAAAATTTCAGATGTAATTATTGGATTTGTACTATTTTGGTATAGAAGCTTTTTTACTAGAATAAAAGTTTGTGTAGGAGGGATAATTAATTAATTTCACTTGACGTAAAAAATCTTTTTCCTAGTATCCCTCCTACAGAAACTTTCATTCTAGTAAAAAAGCTTTTAGACTAAAATAGTACAAATCCAATAATTACATCTGAAATTTTACATCTTCTTGAAGTTTGCATAAACCAGGACTACTTTGAATTTAATAATAAAATATATACAAATAACAGTGCAGGACTTATAATTAAGCCCATTACTCTCTAAGCCCATTACTGTCAGATATTTTTATGGATCATCTAGAGATAAATATTTTAAAACATCCCGTATTCAAACAGTTTTTATATTGGTGGAGATATGTAGACGACGTACTGGTATGTTTCACAGGAACTAACAGGCAACTCGACCAATTATCTTATATTATTTCACCTCATAGTCATAATGAATTTACAATAGAAACAGAACAAAATCAAACCATAAATTTTTTAGATTTAAAAATTAGCAGACTTCAAAACAAACATGACTTATCCATATTTTATAAACCTACCAATACTAACACGACTATACACAATTCATCATCCCATCCAACACAACATAAACTGGCAGCTTATCATAGTATGTTACATAGATTAACAGAAATTCCGATGTCAAAATACAACTTTGAGACAGAATTAAATATAATTAAGCAAATAGCAGTAAACAACGGATACAACGAACAAAGAATTAATAAAATGTTAAATCAAAAACTACACAAGAAAGCCCTGAAATTAGTATTTCCACCACCAGAGAAAAAACCCAGTACCTTCTGCTCGATTATATATACAGGCAAAATAACAACAAAAATTTTTAAACACATAAAAAAGAAAGGAATAACACCAGTTTCCGAACAAATAACAACCTAAGCAAATATATTAAAAATAACAACAGCAAAAATAAAAAACACTTAAATAGTGGTGTGTACAAACTTCAATGTGGCGACTGCCCAAAAACTTACATCGGTCATACTGGTAGAAACTTTGATAAACGAATAGCAGAACATAAAAGGGGTTTCAAAAATAGAAAAACAGATTCGACATACGCACTTCAGCTTCTAGATCATAATCATTCTTTTAATGACAAATTTAAAATTCTTCACACTCAAAATTAAGGCCTTAAGCTATCTTTGTTAGAATCTATGGAAATCAACAAATTAAAAAACACAGATATAATTCTGAATGACCAACTTGCGACAAACAGAATTGTTTGTCGCAAGCCCCTCCTCAACCTATTTCATTAGAGACTATAAATTTGTAAACCAAAGCCAAAAATAGATCACTTGAGAAAGGCAATCAGCCGAAACAGCTGTAGTGATAAGATTTAAAATAAATTTTGTGGAAGTTTGAAAACAAAGTTTTCAGTGTTTTATTGTTAAATAAAATTATTGTTGGGGAAAATTTCCCTAACCGATGGCAACATCACGTTATCTAAAATATCTAAATAGGTTTCAGTATTGAATCGTCCTTCAATTCTCCAACACATTCCCAAACCTCCTCTATAAATCCAAGCCCAAACATTTATAGTGAACCGTCCGGACTTATCACTTGATAAAATATAGTTTTCGTTAAACCTATTTCGAGGCGGTCTATAAACCCTAATTTGGCCATCATAATGAGACTGGAATACTTTTTCATCAGTAAAAATTACACGGTCCCAACAATTGACTGGATCATTAATTTAAAATGTAATTTAAAGCAAATAGGAGTCTACTTTGTTTATGTTCCTCGCTAAATTTGTATTTTCGGACAGCTGCACAATTGTTTAAATCTGTTCTTCTAATTCTCCTTAATGCTGTAGTTATAGAATCGTTAAACTTTGTATTAACTTTTGCTTGCCTTGCTGTGTGGAAGGGATACGCTCTTAAATAATTAGTTAATGCTTCATCTTGCTCAGGCTTGAACAATTGTCATTCAATCAGTCTCATTCAACATAAGTTTTTTTAAAGAATTTAAATGTGTCAATTAGTGAAACATGATTTTTTTAATGTTGTGGATTGTGGTTTTGCTTCTATTTAACTCTTGAGCCAGTTGTCTAATAGACCAACCATATTTTTGAAATTATTCTCGTTTTATCAAACTGACTTAACTGACGTGGCATCTTTAAAAATTCACTTTGACAAAATTGTCAAGTCTGACTGATGGCAAGCAATATTTTTACGTTTAATTGTTATGTCTAATTGTTCGGATATGTTCGAGAAATTTTCACGCACTAATAACATCTGTAGATACTTAACCAACATTTTTTAGTTAAAAGAGGATAATGTAATACTGTCACGTTTTGAAAAGCATTTTTCGCCCCGGATATTTTATAGTTTATAATCTACGTAGGACAAAGTGTAATGTTAGTTTTTCACATTTATCGTTCATGTAATAAATAATAAATAAATTTAGATAGTTTGCCTGTTACTAAACTTATTGACATAACATACAGTTAACAGTTTGTGTTCTGTAAAAAATTGAAGTATAAAATTACAGTAGATGCATTCCAATGTTCCCTGTGCTAATACCCTAACTTAAA